CGTATTGTAGCATATCTTCAAAACAAGACTAATAGAGGATATAAATCGTATTGTATCATATCTTCAAAACAAGACTAATAGAAGATATAAATCTTATTGTATCATATCTACAAAACATGACTAATAGCATATATAAATCGTATTGTATCATATCTTCAAACAAGATTAATAGAGGATATAAATCGTATTGTATCATATCTTCCAAACAAGACTAATAGCATATATAAATCGTATTGTATCATATCTTCAAAACAAGACTAATAGAGGATATAAATCGTATTGTATCATATCTTCAAAACAAGACTAATAGCATATATAAATGTTATTGTATCATATCTTCAAAACAAGACTTATAGAGGATATAAATCTTATTGTATCATATCTTCAAAACAAGACTAATAGAGGGTATAAATCTTATTGTATATCTTCAAAACAAGTCTAATAGAAGATATAAATCTCTCTGTGCCTACAACCAGTGGCGTTTCTATGGGGAGACTGGCCCTACTTTCAATTTTATTTATCATTTTACATAGTGAAAGAATGTCCTGTTTACCAACACAAAATTTGAAGGCTTTATTAGATATACATTTTGTTGATTACACACTGAACACATACAAACAATCTACTCAAATCTGTTCACCCTTCTTTATACTTTATCCACTGGTGAACTTCTGTTCAACTCACCAATGTGATCCCATCTCCCTGTGAATTCTTACTTTTGTATCTTTTTGTCATTAGGCCTTTATTTTTCATATAGAAAAGACTTTAAGTTCTTTCCGGTAACAGGTTTAGGTGGAAAATTTGTTGGCTACTTTTCATGTAATACATTATATTGTGCTGTTTATTGGATAGTTAGGAGTTAGGTCAGTCAGTTTCAAAGGTATATTTTTTTTATATATTCTGTATTTGCCTTGTAAGGCTTTGCAAGTTTGATAATAGGCATATATAAGCAAAATGTGTGGCAGTCATCTATAATTTTCAATACACTGCATAATAGTTCAAATTTAAGTTCAGTTGAGGTAATTGTAGTGAATTTTTTTTATTTTAGTTATTGCACACACAAACGTTATGGCATATTTAATATTTTATTATATATGTTAAGTGGCATGCACGCAGATCAGAAGTGACATAACAGCTGTATATTGTATTTTATGAATTAGCTATATCATGTTATTTTAATTTATCCATATCTCTGGTTGTTAGTATAATCATATTTAGGGGATTTTTAGTTTTTGTGTAAATAAAAGTTTGCAACTCCACCTATTGTGTGGTCTTTTATTTGCTTTGACCCCTGACCACCCCCCCCCCCCCCCCCCCCCCCCTCCTTTCCCCCACCCAATATCACTGATAGAGGATGAAAATATTATATCCTCACTACATAGAGGATAGAGCATATAAATCTTCTTGTATCATATCCTCACTACCAGACGATTATACATTAAATTTTCAATATTACATTATATCTTCACATAAGACATATGAGTCACATTATTTCACATTATTGTATCCATATTCTCAGGCAATTCGCCATGACCATTGCGTTCAGACGAATTGCGTCGATCTGTTTTTGCCTTATATGTCAGCAATAAATTTTATAGTCAAACTTATCACCATAGCTTTAGCGAGTAAATAGTAGATGTGAATTAGTATGCGACATCCTCAATAAAAACTCATCAGAGGATATAAATTTATTTATTTAGAGTCAAACAAGTATAGCAATAATGCTATTTAGTACTTTACTAGGTAAACAAATAGAAACGAGATTATGATGATAACGGGCAATTGATTAGTATATGAACTTATCATTCTTTAATATCTTTTATTTGTCATATTCACTCAATGTTATAATTGTCCCTTGATAATACACTTTATTACAAAATGACAAAAATATGAAGCTACTACTGACTTCTGACATTTAGCTGTGGCCATTTATTGAAATTAAAATATTGCCGGGCATGTCCGTTCAGGAAGGGTGTACAAACAATTTCTTGAAAATGCGGATATGTGGGTGCTGAATTGGCGATTATCATTTTACTCGATTCTATATCTATTGGCTCTACATTATTTGAGATGAATGATTTGAGGGATGGGTTCCGTCCGAAATGCAATAAGATTGAACTCGTATCCGTACAAGTTAGTTTGAGTTTTTTATAAGGAAGGGCCTACCGACGGGCGCCACTGAATAAAATATTTTATTGCATTTTTCACTTGTGAAGAATTAAGACTGAGACGCACTGACTATCGTATAATTATATACAACTGAGCCTTTGTTTTTAATCATTGTGATAATGGCTCAAGGATATTTTCCAAATATCTATCATACAAGATACGTTATAAGTTTTTGGAAACAAATACATACTTATATCATAAAACATACTTTCGCTCCGCTCTGAATGCATTAGCCAATCTGCTTTTATTTCAGTCTTTACATGCAGGGACGGACTGGGCAGGTCCAGAATCCTAACTGGTAATTGGCATTATTATGTTGTAAACTGCTTGAGTTTCAACTCTATTGCATAATCGGTATTAAAAACTTCAGAACCAAAGACGATTGACCTTTCACTTATTTCACAATCCAACCGGTTTTATAAGTTTATGTATATGAAACGAGACTATAAAACTGTTGTCATGGTAATCGTATAATGCAATTGTTTAAAACTAAATTGCAATTTAGATTGTATTCCGATTGATAAGACCAATATAAATATAATAAAATTGTAATAGGTATATATATTTATCTAACTGATTGATTTTTGATAATGGACATGTTTGATTATTGATCGTAAAACAATGTCTCGTCAAATAGATTTACTGGTCTCAATTTCTCTGACAGGACGATGACGCTGGCTGTCCATATAGGCTGAAGTTTGCATTGTAAAGCGAGATTGTTGCTCTCACTCTTATTGCTGATACCCGTATTACCCAGTGTGTCCCATTTGTCAGATTGTTGAGAAATCATCGCAAATAGATATGATTACAGGACAATCAATGAAAATGCATTATGAGGCGAAAATTGTTGCTCTTGGTAATATTTATTTACACCTGAGTATCCCATTTTGTCAGATTGTTAATATGATAGTTACGTTCACTGGAAAATCAACTGTAGCTGTCGGTATTGAAGTTGCGAAATTTAAGGCTAAATATTTACATGTATCCAATGTGGCCCATCAAGATATCCATTGGATTGAAAAGGTTAAAGAAACGTCACTTCTGAAAATAGTGATTAAACATTGGCAATTACATATTCTGTGGTCTATGAACTCATGTAACTTTCTTCTACTTTCTTTTTATTGCCTTAAAGACCATTTAACACTGACTTTTTCCGATATCTTTACTTATTTAAATACATCAGCATTTTAAAATAAATATATATACTAGTATGATACATGCACATGGCATTCCTTTTGCCTTTACGTATTAATAGCATACTCACCATATTGCTGCCATAAATTTTCAGTCAGATAAAAATGACATATTAAAGAATGCATTTTGAGGACTAAATTCTAGCTAGATAGGATTTATTCCAGCATACCTCGAAATTATTATTTATTCTTCATCATAGTCACAGAGGTCGTACTTCTGGTTCACTGAGAAAGACCCTTGATCACTAACCAGAAGGTCTAGGGTTCAATTCCGACTTGATCTATCAGATTTCCAAGCCCAGTTCACCTTATCTGTGATGGTTGGATGGTCTGGAAAAGGTGTTCACATGTGAAAATAAATCGAAGCCCGAGGTCGTAGGTCAAAGATCACTCTAAGGGTCGGAAGACTCGTTTCATTTTACATGTAACTTTGTCTTTATGTCAATTTGTAGTCAAAATTATCTTCAGATTGAAACTGGGAATCATTACAATATCTGAACCATTATTTTGTTGTAAATAGAGCTAAAAACTTTTGAAGCTAAATTTGATGTGGGCGTATGTAATGCAGTCCTCTTGTCATTAGCTTGATTTTATAAATAATTCTTATTATTATCATTTCGACATTTGTGTGTGTTCTGTTGGAAAAACCGTATCACAGATGACGGCCAAACGAAGAGTGTGTATTCGATAATACGGTTTAGTTATTAAAATGAATTAGGTATAATTGTATTTATGTGGTGTATGGTTTCCATCAATTTGACCTAATTTATTGGTTATATTGTCCAAGAGAAAATCTTAAAACACTCTGGTTCATTTGAATGGAGACATCGGTATGATTGCGTGTGAATGGCACCACATACCATCAGGCATCGTATATCATTCCAATGCATTTTATTCTTTGAGTAATGGGCCTTTACAGCAATCCAGACGAAATGCAAATTGTAGTGATCTCGCTAAAGTCGCAAAAAGAATGTTCTGATGGAATCCACACTATAATTCGATCAATACTGCTTATTGATCGTTCTTGTTCTGGTTTCCATGACAGTTTTATGTCACGTGATCATGAGCCTAGTCGCGCGAAATTAATATTTTATCATGGCTGAATTGCATCCTATTATCATCTAATTTGCATACAATTATAACTGATATATTTGATGAAATTAGGCGAAAATGGACACGTGGTAGATAGTCATTAATTTGTTTACAAATAATTTTATTGTCATGAAGATTGGAATGAGTTCCGTCATG